GCGGCCTGCTGACGCAGCCACTTCCCAACACCAGCAAGGCATGCTTCGTAAGCATCTTCCAGGGTCCTGCGTACCCCCGTGTAGCAATACCACCGCACTCTTTGCCGCAGGTGACCAGCGACAACCAGCGCGGCCAGGCCAGCTTAGCTGCCCGCGGCACCTTGGTGTTGGCGGCCTCCACCAGCTGGGTATGTGTCATGGTTTTTGCACGGCTTGGGGGGATCTCGTGAGGTGTGCAACACCCAATTCTCGTACCGTGTTTGCAGCAACCAGCGGCCAGGACCCCTGGAGCAGCCCTGCAGGGCGGCCTGCTGACGCAGCCGCTTCCCACCACCAGCAGGGCGTGCTTCGTAAGCATCTTCCAGGGTCCTGCGTACCCCCATGTAGCAATACCACCGCACTCTGCTGCAGGTGACCAGCGACAACCAGCGCGGCCCGGCCAGCGTAGCTGCCCGCGGCACCTTGGTGTCGGCGGCCTCCACCAGCTGGGTATGTGTCATGGTTTTTGCACGGCTTGGGGTGATCTCGTGAAGTGTGCAACACCCAATTCTCGTACCGTGTTTGCAGCAACCAGCGGCCAGGACCCCTGGAGCAGCCCTGCAGGGCGGCCTGCTGACGCAGCCGCTTCCCACCACCAGCGGGGCGTGCTTCGTTAGCATCTTCCAGGGTCCTGCGTACCCCCGTGTAGCAATACCACCGCACTCTTTGCCGCAGGTGACCAGCGACAACCAGCGTGGCCAGGCCAGCATAGCTGCCCGCGGCACCTTGGTGTCGGCGGCCTCGACCAGCTGGGTATGTGTCATGGTTTTTGCACGGCTTGGAGTGATCTCGTTAGGTGTGCAACACTCAATTCTTGTACTGTGTTTGCAGCTACCAGCGGCCAAGACCCCTGGAGCAGCCCTGCAGGGCGGCCTGCTGACGCAGCCGCTTCCCACCACCAGCGGGGCGTGCTTCGTAAGCATCTTCCAGGGTCCTGCGTACCCCCGTGTAGCAATGCCACCGCACTCTTTGCCGCAGGTGACCAGCGACAACCAGTGCGGCCAGGCCAGCGTAGCTGCCCGCGGCACCTTGGTGTCGGCAGCCTCCACCAGCTGGGTATGTGTCATGGTTTTTGCACGGCTTGGGGTGATCTCGTGAAGTGTGCAACACCCAATTCTCGTACCGTGTTTGCAGCAACCAGCGACCAGGACCCCTGGAGCAGCCCTGCAGGGCGGCCTGCTGACGCAGCCGCTTCCCACCACCAGCGGGGCGTGCTTCGTAAGCATCTTCCAGGGTCCTGCGTACCCCCGTGTAGCAATACCACCGCACTCTTTGCCGCAGGTGACCAGCGACAACCAGTGCGGCCAGGCCAGCGTAGCTGCCCGCGGCACCTTGGTGTCGGCAGCCTCCACCAGCTGGGTATGTGTCATGGTTTTTGCACGGCTTGGGGTGATCTCGTGAAGTGTGCAACACCCAATTCTCGTACCGTGTTTGCAGCAACCAGCGACCAGGACCCCTGGAGCAGCCCTGCAGGGCGGCCTGCTGACGCAGCCGCTTCCCACCACCAGCGGGGCGTGCTTCGTAAGGATCTTCCAGGGTCCTGCGTACCCCCGTGTAGCAATACCACCGCACTCTTTGCCGCAGGTGACCAGCGACAACCAGCGTGGCCAGGCCAGCATAGCTGCCCGCGGCACCTTGGTGTCGGCGGCCTCGACCAGCTGGGTATGTGTCATGGTTTTTGCACGGCTTGGAGTGATCTCGTTAGGTGTGCAACACTCAATTCTTGTACTGTGTTTGCAGCAACCAGCGGCCAAGACCCCTGGAGCAGCCCCGCAGGGCGGCCTGCTGACGCAGCCGCTTCCCACCACCAGCAGGGCGTGCTTCGTAAGCATCTTCCAGGGTCCTGCGTACCCCCGTGTATCAATACCACCGCACTCTTTGCCGCAGGTGACCAGCGACAACCAGCACGGCCAGGCCAGCGTAGCTGCCTGCGGCACCTTGGTGTCGGCGGTCCCCACCAGCTGGGTATGTGTCATGGTTCTTGCACGGCTTGGGGTCATCTCGTGAGGTGGGCAACACCCAATTCCCGTACCGTGTTTGCAGCAACCAGCGGCCGGGAGCTCTGAGCAAACCCTCCAGCCTCTTTCTCCATCACCCGTTCCACCTAGGCTCACTGAAGATGTCTTTCTTCAGATGAGCCGGAAGATCAAGCAGCTGGAGAACGAGAATCGTCGCTTGGTGAGGCAGGCTGCCTTACAAAAGACAAGGGAAGCGACGTTCCGGTCCCAGCTGCACAAGATATTCACTGCGGACCAACTGGCAGCGCTATCAAGATCCAACAACAGGGGGTCCAAGTGGTCGAACGAGACGGTGAAAAAGTCGTTGCAGGTGCGCTTCGCGTGTGGCAGCACGGGCTACGACTTACTGCTGGAGGGGGGCTTCCCATTGCCGTCGTCTAGAACACTGCGGCGGCGACTTGAAGGCGAGTTTGTGTTTAGGCTACTCAAGTGTTTCAAAGCTCCCTGTTGATTATTTGCAGATATATCCTTGTTAATACCTGTAGTGTTTTTGTATTTTACGCAATCTTTTTTTTAAAATGAGGAGTTGGTGTCATGGTTCCTTTTTCACTTAGTTGCAGTGTGGTAGGAAGGGGTAGATTATTCATATTATGTTGGAATGATTCTCTCATTGCAGGCTTACTAGCACTAGTTTGACATCAGTATCTTGCATGCGTTGAGATGTGAATTCAAGTTTAGAGGGGGAGTGTTTTCTTCACTCTCAATTTTTGTAACCTTGCTGATGCGACCATGGAGGTAATTATGCTGACGGTGTCTAAAAGAGCACACTGTGGTGATGATAGTCTAATGAGGCTCATGGATTCCATACGAGCACTGCATGAACACTTGACTTGGGCTCGTGACAATAAGTTCCTCGACTTGGGCAGTAGCTTATGACTAGGGCTCTGTGTTTTCGGAGTTTATTTTTCGTGAAATTCAGAGGGTGCTTTTTGGAGTTTATTTTTTAGCGAAAATTCGCTGTTTATCGGAGTTTATTTTTCATAAATCCCCAATTCTCCGAAATTCTGAGATTAATTTTGCAGTGTTTTATATTAAAATTAATAAATAATAACCGGATGCAAACGTATGCCAAATAGAAACAAAAACGCGCTCGTATCAATTAAGATTCTTTCAGTTGAATTTGGCGTTGCTATCAATGGCGATACTAATTTGTCCCACGACAAAAGTCGCACACAAGTGTGGCTTCGTTAAACGTCGATATTTTAAAATCAATATACTGCCGGAGGTAGCTGCAAGGAAGCTCGTAGTCATCCCATCAATCTATCCCACTGCCGCGCGAGGTGGATGTAATAGAGATGTTTCAACTGCCCCTCATCCCTATTTTATACAATCTCTATGGTCCATAGCTTTCACTGTTACCCCCAGAAATACACCCTCTCATTTCTCTAAATCCCAAATCCCATGGCCCAAACTGGAAACCAAAAGAGTGGCTTTTGTCGTGACACGAATGGTACGACGACCTGTTTCCCTGAACCAACTTTGACGAGACAAGCCATAAGACCCCCTTTTGACAACGGTCCGAGGCTTGAACGATAATTATGGTGTCATTTTCCCAGGACCATTCATCCTGCGTTGCTCAAAATGTAAAAAAAGAAAAAAAAAAGACTTTTCTTTTTTTTTTGCTGTGTTTTTTGTTGGGGGGGGGGGGGGGGGTGGCATGGGCACATAACAATTCAGAGTTTATCGGATAAATCCGAATTGCCAAAAATTTTACCGGCGGGTGTTTTTCGGATTTATCCGAAATCACGGAGCCTTACTCATGACTGATCTCTGCACACGAATGGCCAAAATTAAACATTGTTTACAGCTCAGCATATGCGGCACATGTTGCCATACACAGACTATGGCTATACCTAGTTCTCACGTGACGTCATCTAGTCACTATTCCCAGGTACTATGCGTCCCATTAATGCAGTGGAAAGTAGGTTTGCACGTGCCTCCGCGAGCGTCTCACATAGTGCTCTTTATTCTGTGGAAGGCTGGCTGCACGTGCAAAGGACGCCGTTGCTGGGCACTGGGTGACGTCAGTGCAATCTATGTATGGTAAACATTGGCAGCAGACCACGTGGCCACTTGTTCTGGCTACAAATCAAGGGGGTAAAGGATGCTCATTTTAGTCTTTCCTGCGACTAGCTCCGTGTCAAGAGAACAATTGTGTGCTCCATAGGTTATAAAAATCAAAAAATATTTTTATGCAGAATTTATTACAAGCAGAAATGTGGTTGCACTGAACTTATGTAGATAGTCTAGTTCAAAATTCGAATGCTCTAAGCACAATTGTGCCTCTGTGTATCATAACGATTCTTCTTCATTTTCACTTTTTGAATTAAGGGGGCCAATTCTTTTTGCATTGGCATGTTTTTCTGTGTGAAATCAGGATCATTGTGTAGAAAGAATAAAACTTCAGTTTGAGCTCTCATCTTTGTCAGTGATGAAAACTCATAATAGAAAGTATAATTCCATTACAAAGACTGGAAGTTATTCACTACTAACTATTTAGAAAAAGATATCTTCAGGGCTTGCTTCGTAAGTCATAAGTGAGTATCTAAACCAATGGTTGTGACATTGAATGCCACGTAATGCTTTTGTTATACTAAACAAGGTGATTTTGTGGCTCCAGTGCAACTAGTACTTTCAGCGATTCACACCAGAGGCATTCTAACTTTTAATCACAATGAACTCTGCCCGTGGCCTCAAAACTATTTCAAAGCTGACAAACAAAGACAGTAGGAATCAGTTGACCCATGCTTGTGCTTGGGGCAAACTGAAAAAGTTTGTGCCTGTTTATCTGACGGCGGAAGAAGTTTTCCTCTAAGAGAACCCTATGTGCAGGCGTTAGGATTTCTGAAAATCCACTTTGAGATCCCAAGATTCCAGCATGAGTGACAGTAATAACTTGAATAAACTGCACTTTTCTTCTATTCTAGGCATCCGTTTCGAGCCTGGGGTGCTGGGCGAAGTATTTCAGCTTCTCAAGAAAAAAGTGGCGCACCTCAAGCCGCAAGAGCGCAAATGCGTACTGTTGGTCGATGAGATGGCTATTGTACCGAAGTTCGAGTACGACCCCAGCACAAGCTCCATACGGGGTCACGTGACAATGCGTGTGCCAGGAGCACCGCCCGCCAAGCCACCGTCCACAGAGCACGCCAAACCACAGTCTGCTGAGCCACCGCCTGCGCAGCCACCTTCTGCCGAGCCGTCTGCTGAGCAACCTTCTGCCGAGCCACCGGCCGCCACCCATGCTCTGGTGTACATGGTTGCTGGGGTGTCTTCACGGTGGAAGCAAGTCGTGTGCTACCAGTACACCGGTAACTCTCATGCTCTTTATTCATTTATATCTCTCAGTGTACAAATAATGTAATATTTACCGCATGATACACTTCCTTTTGCTCTCTCTCTCGCTCTTTGCTTACGACAATAATGGTGCTAAGTCGTATGAGGGAAACATTATGAACATGGAAGTGCAGGCTGAACAGACAAGTGTTGAAACTCTTCAGAACACTACGAAGGAATGGAGACAGAAGGTTTTTATGGCATGGGCCCTATGGATCTAACCTACTTTCTTTGGAACGAAAAAAATTACTTTCTTATCGGATTACACTGGGATTTATACAGAGGTGCGTGGCGAAGTGGTGGATGTTGGTGAAAATATCAAATGAACTTAACACAGGAAAAAAAAAAAGCTGTTTCTGGCAGGGTGCTCACCTGCTTGGGGATGCTGTAAACAAATAGCATGGCCTGGCACACGAAAAGGTGTGGCAAGGCATCTCGACTGATCAGGTCCCATACCACAAATAGGGATCCCATACCAGAGGATACCACAGTTCAGAAGGGATACCACAGTTCAGAAGCCATTCATTACAGAGGCAAGCGCCATGCTGAGGGAAGCATCAAATGCTTCCCTCAGCATGGTGGTTTATGGTTTAGGTGTGTGGTGTAATTCGCAAATGCAATATGATTGCTAACTTGAGCATGTATCATAAAGTAATTATTACACAGCTGGACACTGCTACATTGCTTCATCATTTCGAAATGGATGAGGATGAAGACTGATCCCAGTATGTCAGTTCAATCCTCGTGCATGTCGGATTTTGCCACAAGTGCTCCAAGCTGTGGTGTGCTAACATACTTGTCCACCAATTTTCTCACTATATGCTTTGTCAGAAGCAAATTCAAGATATAGCAACATTATGTTCTCTATTCCCATTGGGTAAGTAAGGATGAAACATACACACCAGGACGGGCTACTACCTCCAAAGGCGTCTTCGTTCCATCTTCCCTGATGTGTAAAAAATATTTAAACCTACCGTAATAACTCACTCTCTTTCATTCTGTTCCAATTTGTTTTCACCTGTTTGGCTCAAGGGAAGCTGGTGCAATCATGCACCGCTTTGTGCATAAACCGAGTTCATGAAAAGTGTCACGGTACTTTTGAGGTCTCTCTTTTTAACGAGAGGCCTGAGTAACGCTGCCCCTAACTACAGGTGGCATGTTCTCCTGTGTGGAAATCCTCTTTTCCCGCCTAGTCGAAATTGTACAGCCTAAAGTACAGCTGTAGCGTGGCTGTCCTTCGACGCTCCGCTGGTGCAGACGCAGAACATCAGGCTCGTGAGCCCAGGGCACCTGGTTCGAGTCCCAGTGGAGGACACATGTGTTCGTTGTTAGAGATAACTAAAAGATAAAATCAGTTCTTTATTGTTATAATCTGTGTATCCTTTTATATACTGTTTACACTTTCGTGGTTTAGTTGCTGTGATGTCAGTCTATTCAGCAACAGTAATCTTGTGATTGCTTTTTATAACCTCGAAACCAGCCCCTCAATGCATTCTGCAATAAAAGTGTTTGCACCTTTGTGGGTTGGATGAGCTAATAGGTGTTTCTTTCTACTGACCATAAGATCTGCGTTGTGACAGTGTGTCGTACACTTGGGTAAATTACTTTGTAATAGTAATTTAATTACAATTACTTTGCTTCAAAAGTACTTTAATTACAAATAAAAATACCGGTGTACAGAAAGTGATGGATTATAATTACATATTGCCAGTGTACAAAGTAAGGCAATTTCTTCACAATTATTTTCCTTTTTGCTACCAGTCTTCAATGATGTTAAGGTGACATTTCTTTGTGTGCTAAAATATAACTGCCGATTCTTTTCTTCACTTTTGAGGGTACAGTATATGACGTAACATGTGTTTGTGCCTTTATTTAGCCGGTTCTAGGCATATGATAGGCCGCCAAGTACTGAGTATGATCTGAGTCATTGTCCACTGTTCGGCAACACTAAGATTAGCGAGTTCTAGTAGACAAGTTCTGCTATCTGATAACTAGAACTTCCTATAAGGGTCATTCACGTTCTGAGTCATCACCCACTAACATAGCCACCGAACTAAATATACAAAGTTTTATTCGTGACCTTTGTGAAAAATGCAAGGCATAGCAAACTTGCCAATAAGATAGCTGCTTCTGGCTTTGTCGACCATGCTTACGTGTGCTGACTCAACATTAAAAGGCTGTCTGGCATCAAGTAAATACACCCTGTTATTAGTGTTCCTTTGACCATGGCAAATCATTGTTAAAAAAAATCTAATAATGTATGCAGGAACTGGAATAACCAGAGTAATAATTTCAACATTAAATTATGCTGAAAGTATATTTATTTTCTATTTTCGCGAATCAGTCATCTCGCTTGCACTTCTTTTTATATGCGTCTTCAGGGTGCGTCTGGATGTGCTCCCTATCCAGCATTGCTCCGCGAGGTGGACCTTTTGCATTTTACGTCCCCGCGAGCTTCCAGTTCAAATACAGGCTAAGCAATCACCATCCTAACGAGGCACCATGAAAAGCCAAATAAAAAAATCAGACCAATGCTCGTGACGCCCGCCTAAAAGATAGGTTTGCAAAATATCAGTGGAAGACTTTTTAATCTCCTGTAAGCCAGCCGCATGCCTATAATATGTTGAATAGCGTAGAAGAATTACCCCCTCTAAATCTCCCACATCTTCGTTTGTATAGCATTTAAGCTTCCAAGCACTGATAGCATACAGAAGCTCTGGAATTCTAACAAAAAGGCACGACTCAAAGCTGCTTGGGACGCGAGGCCTTTGTTTGTAAAAATGAATAGGGTCTATATAATCGGCGAGGGCAACTTTGCTCAATTTCTTTTATTTTGGGGGTGTGACTGTTTTCAGCGTAGTCAGCAACGCTGAATCACGGGTAAAATGTTTTCTGCTATACTATACCTTTATAGTACTTTTCATCCGGGCAAACAATGCTGAGCCACTGCGTTGTGGATGCAGGCACGTCGTTGTATGATATTTTGCGGAGGACAGCTATTGCGTCTGCTCAAATGGTGTTCCACAGCCCAGCACCCTCAAAGAATTATAGCTCTCTGAGGCCATTTATGTTAAAAGTATATAATTTTGTAGATATTCGGTGTTTACTGCAGATTCTAAATTGCACTCGTGAGCAACAGCAACATTGGTCGCGTCAACAATATGACTTGTCTTTTCTCCCGCAGTACACATGGCTGGCTGAGTTGCACAAGTACTGCGGACCATAGATTAAGATAGGAAAGCGCAGTATAACACAGAGAGTAGCTCTTGTCACCTGATTCACAGAACGGCACGAAAAATGAAATGTCCGAAGTGTCAGTACGAGAGCGTTGAACGAAAGTTATGTCATTTCCAGTTCTGCTTGAATAATAGTGAAACCGTTCTTGGCCCCCCAACCACCTGGTGTAGCATTTTTAATATTTGTTTTAATTCGGATTGTGGTGTCGCTTTGATGTAATATATTTTCGCTATGACTGTATTTTGCCCCATAAAGCAATAATAACTTATTTTGGGTCAAATGTTTGAGTCAATATGGCCCTTTAGGCGAATTCTTTCAAAGCCCCACAAACTGGCAGGACATTTAGGCAGGCATCCAACACTTTTTATCATCTCAATGACGTTATAAAGCTTAGCGGCAGCGTGATGAAATAATTAAAGAAGTTGTTGTCATTCAAATTTTCACAATTACTGCTGCTGAAAAGTAATTAAATTAATTTTTGCCTAAAAGTAATGATATACAATTACAAACTACGCAGAAAAGTAATTAAATTACACTAATTCAATTGCTGTAATCAGTGACAGTAATTCAATAGAGCGATCTTACCATCCGTTCAGTGCATCCGTGACGCTGCCATTACTTTAGTTCACAGAATGCAGGATGCAGAGCATGGGATCGCTCGTGGCGGGGTCCATATCATTTGAGCGAATGACGTTTTAGCGAACAGCGACATTTGAGCGAATCGACGTTTTAGCGAATAACGGGGGCGCGCGTTAACCCATCCGCCGCGCTGCGCTTTACGCCGCTTCGCGGCGGCAGTCTGCGGCGGCTCATTACAAAAATGTGAACCCATTTGGCCCACCCGAAAACGCCGCTTCGCGGCGTCCGACTATTCGCTAAAGTGTCATTCGGTGAAACGTGGGCGTTTGCTAAAACGTCATTCTTCAATCAAGTGAGTGCCTCCCCTCGTGGCGTCTCGTGCTTTGCTCGCGCAGACCCGCAGCGGGGTTGTGGCGCATGCAGAAAGACTAGAGTTCCCTTGATGCATCGTGGTAGCAGCGGCGTAGCTAAATTGGCTGGTGAGATCGGTCTATTACTGTAATTGAATTACTACCCAATGTATAGTATACCAACAGTCACTTTTCTCCACTTCCTAAATTTTCTGTGTCTACATTGAGTTCTACGTTTACTTCTTTTTCCTACTGCTTACTTTGGTGCAGGCAGCTCCTTCAGTGGAGAAGACGCTGCCAGCGAAGTGAGAACTCTCATCGAGCGGTGCTACAGTGTTGGGCTCCAGGTTGTGGCCATCACAAGTGACATGGGCAGTGGGAACCGGGCAATGTGGAAACAGTTCGGCGTACACGCTGGCAGATACAGCAGAACCGTGAACCTGATTCCCCACCCCCAAGTACCTGGGGAGCAGATTGCTTTCCTGGCAGACGTCCCCCACCTCATCAAGAACCTGAATGGGCATCTGGTGCGGGGCCAAACTATAACGCTGCCAGCAGATGTTGTGGCTGCTAACGGGCTTCCATGTTCAACCGTGTCCCTCGAGCCGGTCCGCCAGCTTGCCGAGTTCCAAAAGAACCTCGCCTTCAAGTTGGCCCCCAAACTTCGTCCCGAGCTTCTGGACCCAAACCACTTCGAGAAGATGAAGGTGAGCAAGGCATTCAGAGTGATGACCTGGTCTTGCCTTGCTGTTTTATAGGTGTTCCCAGGAGTTCCCCTGAGTAGCCTCGAGCATTCCCTAACCACCACCCAGATTCCCTGGAAGTTCCGAGCTCATAGCTGTGCATTGATGCACAGCTATGAGCTAGGCACACTTTCGTGTGTGCATTACTGTTACGAAGGGTAGGCCTTTGTGCTGCTTAAATGTAGCAATGCTACACAGAGCAAGGATTCCTTAGCTGTGATTCAGACTCCTAGATCAAAAACTTTGAGCACCGATGCTATGTTCAATAACAAGCAGGGTATCTTGGCTAAAGCCCCACACATGCAAGCATGATCAGGACGGACTTTGCAACACAACTCTGCTTAATTTTTACAGTGAAGCTGTTAAGGGCTAGGTCCCCCGAGGTCGAGTCTGCGGACACGCAGCGTGTTAAAACACACAACTACGGTATAGTAGCGCCATCGAGCGGAAACTTTGGCAACCATCCATTGCGCGCGCGGGAGGTGGGAACCACGGCAACAGCCGAGGAGCGTTCGCGAGTGCGTTCTCGATCTATTCACCGTCGGCCTCATACGCGTACGACGAGCAGGGCGAGGAAAAGGACAGGGACACAGGTGGTCGTGTCAGCAGCCAACGGCGTCCCGTGATTGGCGCTGCCCTACTAGAATAAAACATCATCGTCTCACCTACCAATCATCTGTGTCCTGTGTCCCGTGATGTCGAGATCGCTCTGGCGCTCATATCAGTTGCCCTTGGGACTCACGATGAGTTGGCCGCGCGTCGTTCGTTCGGCGATGTGTACAGTTTCTAACTGCTGGCAAAGTTGCGATTGCAATGAGTTAGCGCGGTTGAGTGCGCTTCTCAACGAGCACCGGTGCGCTGCAGAGAAACGACACTTACAGAGAAAACACCGTGTTCATGCGTATTTCGCAGGCACTATGGGGGGATCGGTGGCCGAGTGGGCTAGCGCACACCAGCTTGGAGCACGTGGAGCGAAAGCTCGCACTCCAGAACCCAGGGATCCTGGGTTCAATCCCCACCCCTGCCCATTTCGATCTGGGTGAGCATCGTACCGGCGTGCGGTTGTGTATCCCTACTGCGTGGTGCACGTTAAAGACCCCAGGCTAGCGGTTGTACTGCACTGGCTAAATTGCTCATCTACAGCTGGGAGACTCGTCGCCCCTGTGAGGCAGACCAAGTTCTAGGCTGTATAAACATACACACAACCGAATTTTTTTTTTTCGCAGGCACTGCGATTGTGCATTGAGGAAAAGGCACACCACCAGAGAAGAACAGGTCACGCGCGTGTGCGAGGAATTCAGGAAAACATTGTAATGTAGCGTGATGATTGTTGATGTTCCTGGTCAATATAAGTGCTTACCTCAAGGCCAAAAGAAAAACTGGCTTTTATCATGAATATGTGTTTGAGGTCCCGTCAAGCTGTGTGCACCATTGGTCATCATTTCTTTAGACTAAGATTTAAAACGAATATTTGGGTATAGCAAGAAGGACTGGCAAATCTCTCATCTATTTACAATCTCCGCGTAGGCCTTGATTTATTTAAAGCGAGAGTCATTCAATGATTCATATCAGAATTAACTGAGCCTTGGCAGTGGGTAGCCAGATACTTGAGAATAACCTGATTGAAACCAGCTAGATTTTTCTTTACAAAGTATAATCATTGCTCACATGCTGATTTTGTGCACTAAAAAGCTATCTCTACTTTTTCACACTTTCTTCAGTTGTTTCGATTAACAACTGCAGAATTTAAGCACATCCTTGAGAACGTGAACAAAACGTTCAACTTGGTACTCAAAATTACTTTTGTCTAACCTCATTTCAGTGGATTACTGTGTGCCCCTTGATATTAGGTGTTTTAGGTATGATAGTCTTTATATCATGTCTAAAATTAATATTTATTCATAGATGTTCACGCTCATCCATCACTCAAGTACTATAATGTTTTGAAAAATGGTACTCAGGTAAGAAAGAGTGCTAAGCTACACGCTAGCTCCTGCTAAGCTAAGTTGGCATGTAGCTTAGCTTAGCTTGTGTGTGGCTAGCTAAGCTAGTTACACATGACCGGAAGCTAGCTTAGCTTAGCTTCCATTAAGCTAAGCTAGCTTCCGCCATCTTGACATCAACATTGTCAAGATGGCGGAAGCTGGGCGCAATGGCAGTATCAGAAAAGCACAGCAAGTATTCAATATGCAATTCAGAATTATTTGACCCAAGTCACTATTAGCTTCTGATTCGCTTGAAACATAAAATTCATTATTTGCACGTGCCTGCTTAAGGGGAAACTGAAGCGGTTTTTGTACCTTTAAAAAACATTTGAATCATCTTCATATAGCCTCCAGCATCACAAATATTAAATTTTATTTTTCAATTTGAGGCCCGGAGTAGCCATAAAAGCACTTTGACCATCGCGCTGAAGCCCCGCCCTTCCGAGGTGCAAGAAGCAAGGAGGAAATTTCTGAGAGACAGCAGCGTCGCAACGAGGATTCTCAGAATTTCTGCACCTACCGCAAGCTTATTTGAGCGGTTGACAAATTGTGTGCTATTCACCTCATGCTCCCGATTTTCGCTTGCCTGTTTCTTTTGACATAAGTTTAGTACACCTGTAAACTTTCATAAAAGATTTAGCGGATGTTGGTTATGCGTGAAAGATTGCAGCGGGAACTAGGCGTCTGTAGCAGATGACGCACCATTTCACGAGAAAAAAAAAACGGTGCATTGGACAAGGCTGGTCATATGTGCCGGAACGCTGCACAAGAGATGGTGCTCGAGCTTCGGTGGGCAGGTGAAAGCTCTTGACATGACATCATGCCAAGTGAATTTTGTTAATATTTCTTTGCGTTGGGTGATACTTCTTCGGCAAATAATGCATAATCAAATTTGCAGGATACAAATACGGAAGAATTTACCTCTAACTCATTTTTTTTGGAGAACCTCTTTAGCTTCCCTTAAAGTGTTTTCAACAAAATCAGTCAGTGGTTCACAAATCTGAGTCGGTGACGCTTTTAGCAACGTACAGCTACCTAAGTAACCATGGAGTGTGCTTTACTTCAGTGCTGGCATTCATCACCATTGCTAAGGTAAAAGCAAAAATGTTTGGCTCATGAAGTGGCACTGCCAATTTTGAGAGAGTGGCAAGGACTCATAAAAAACCAGCAAAAACCATTTGTATGGACAACAGGAATGGAAGTTAGCAGCCTTTTCTTCATTTAGTGCCCATGCTGTTCTCTGATTGACTGAAGGAGAGGTTTAAAATCCTTTATTCCTTCAGTTGAGTTTACCAAGCATTGCATACACTTGAGGATCTAAAGCATTTCTGTGTTTGTAGGTGAGCACCGCCCTACGGGTCCTCAGTCACTCCACGGCCACGGCCCTTCGGTTCCTGGTGGAGAATCATGGCTGGAGCACCAACTTCCTCACCACGGCTTGGTTCTTGGAACAGGTCAACAAATGGTTTGATCTTATGAGCAGCAGGCACTCAGTCCTTGCGATCAGCAGGCAAAATGAGGCCTGCTACAAGAACACCCTTGACTTTCTGGTCAAATTTAAGGATCTTTTTCTCCACCTCACTATTGGGGATGGGGCGTTCAAGCCAGTGCAGGCGGGGGTAATCCTCTCTACTAAGTCCATTCTGGACTTGCAGCAGAGTCTCATTGAGAGACATTCTTTTTCATTCGTGCTCACATCCAGATTCACGCAGGACTGCCTTGAAAACTTATTTTCAATAGTAAGACAGGGCAACCCTATCCCAACTCCCTTGGAGTTTAAGACGGCCTTGAAAATCATCACGCTCTCGCAGTACCTCAAGGCGTCCAAGGCAGGGTCCTACGAACTGGATGATGCCTCCTTTTACCTGGCTGACCTCGCAGACTTGGATGTACAACCTGCTGTACCCACCGACATTTTTCTTGAGGAGGTAGAACTCACCATGTCACAACCTGAGGAGAATAGCTTTGACTATTACTGCGGGTATGTGGTACGAACAGTTGTCAAAAATAATGCTACATGTGACACGTGTGCTGCAGCTGTTCAGGTCCCCACGGCACCTGCAAATAGCCTCCTCAGGCTTAAGAATTACATCCCTGACGCTCTGACCTGCCCCTCTGAAGCTGCACGCAGCCTCTTCACAATTTGTGAAAGTGTCTTTCGCAGCCTCATTCCGGATTTGATGCATGCACGGGGCATTCTGGACAGCTTATCGGCGAGGATGGCTGCAGAGAGCCAATGTGTTCAGCTGCCCGACTGCCATGAAATCAAAATGAAGCTCATCAGGCGGTTCTGTCATGCACGGCTGCAACTATTCCTGCGGGAAAAAAGTCGCGAGTTGGCAGCTGGGGCTGCTGAACGCAGGGACTTCGGCAGCAAGTCGATGGCAGGACCTCGGAGAAGGAATTAGTGTCTTAGATTGCCTTAGCTGAGGAAACTGTTGTCCCATTCTCATTTTTTTTTTACTTTGCTTTCTTCTTTGTGTTAAGGGCAGCTTTAATATTTTGCGTTCCTTCTTTACTGAGGCACTTCTGAATTTTTTTTTACTCTTGCAACGGTTGTTTGTGCGAGGCCCTTTTTCTTGTGATCTTCATGTAAGCCTACGTGAAGCCTCTGAATTTCTTTATGCTTGCTACACATGTTTGTGGGAAGTTTCTTGTGCTGCGCATTTAAGCATTGCACTTTTTTATGCTTGCTACGGGTCTGTGAGAAGCCCATTTCCTTGTGCTCTGCCTGATGTCTCTGAACTTTTTATGCTTGCTATGGGTCTTTGTGGGACGCTTTTTTTCTTAGGCTCTGCTTGTAAACCTGTGTGAAGCCTCTGAATTTTTTTACGTTTTCTCGAGATGTTTGTAGGAGGCTCTTTTTCTCATGCTCTACCTGCAAGCCTGCATGAAGCCTCTGGATTTTTTTTACGCTTGCTTCAGATGTTTGTGGGAAGCCTTTCTTTTTCTTGTGCTCTGCGTACAAGCCTGCGTGAAGCCTGTCAATTTTCTTCGCACTTTCTTCAGCTCTTTGTGAAAAGCTTTTTTTCTTATGCTCTGCGTGGAAGCCTGCGTGAAGCCTGTCAATTTTTTTCACACTTTAGCTCTTGGTGAGAGGCTTTTTTTCGTATGCTCTGCGTGTAAGCCTGCGTGAAGCCTGTCAATTTTTTCACACTTTCTTCAGCTCTTTGTGAGAAGCTTTTTTTCTTATGCTCTGCGTGTAAGCCTGCGTGAAGCCTGTCAATTTTTTCACACTTTCTTCAGCTCTTTGTGAGAAGCTTTTTTTCTTGTGCTCTGCGTGTAAGCCTGCGTGAAGCCTGTCAATTTTTTTCGCACTTTCTTCAGCTCTTTGTGAAAAGCTTTTTTCTTATGCTCTGCGTGGAAGCCTGCGTGAAGCCTATCAATTTTTTTCACACTTTCTTCAGCTCTTTGTGAGCTTTTTTCTTATGCTCTGCGTGGAAGCCTGCGTGAAGCCTCTCAATTTTTTTCACACTTTCTTCAGCTCTTTGTGAGAAGCTTTTTTTCTTATGCTCTGCGTGTAAGCCTGCGTGAAGCCTCTCAATTTTTTTTCGCACTTTCTTCAGCTCTTTGTGAGCTTTTTTCTTATGCTCTGCGTGGAAGCCTGCGTGAAGCCTCTCAATTTTTTTCACACTTTCTTCAGCTATTTGTGAGAAGCTTTTTTTCTTATGCTCTGCGTGGAAGCCTGCGTGAAGCCTATCAATTTTTTTCGCACTTTCTTCAGCTCTTTGTGAGCTTTTTTCTTATGCTCTGCGTGGAAGCCTGCGTGAAGCCTCTCAATTTTTTTCACTCTTTCTTCAGCTCTTTGTGAGAAGCTTTTTTTCTTATGCTCTGCGTGGAAGCCTGCGTGAAGCCTATCAATTTTTTTCGCACTTTCTTCAGCTCTTTGTGAGCTTTTTTCTTATGCTCTGCGTGGAAGCCTGCGTGAAGCCTCTCAATTTTTTTCACACTTTCTTCAGCTCTTTGTGAGAAGCTTTTTTTCTTATGCTCTGCGTGTAAGCCTGCGTGAAGCCCCTCAATTTTTTTCGCACTTTCTTCAGCTCTTTGTGAGCTTTTTTCTTATGCTCTGCGTGGAAGCCTGCGTGAAGCCTCTCAATTTTTTTCACACTTTCTTCAGCTCCTTGTGAGAAGCTTTTTCTCTTATGCTCTGCGTGCAAGCCTGCGTGAAGCCTGTCAATTTTTTCACACTTTCTTCAGCTCTTTGTGAAAAGCTTTTTTTCTTATGCTCTGCGTGTAAGCCTGCATGAAGTCTCCGAATATTTTTTTTACTTTTACGCTTGCTTCAGATGTTTGTGGGAAGCCTTTCTTTTTATTGTGCTCTGTGCGTATGGCTGCATGAAGCCTCTGAATTTTTTTACGCTTGCTACGGTTCTTTGTGGGGAGCACTTTTTCTTCTGCTCTGCGTGTAGGCCTATGTGAAGCTTTCGCTGTCATGCAAACTTGCTCTTCTGTATCATGTTTTTTTTCTTGTCGTCCTTCTTGTGCTGTGCACTGCTTATGTTTCACTCATCCCTTTTTGCTTCATGTGGATGTTTGTAGCCTACCCTTCCTTTCCTGGTGCCTTGCATGGAAGCCTAGGCAGAGACTTCCTGCCCATGTTAGCTTGTCTTTTCCCCTGTCATTCTTCTGTTCGCTTTTTTTTTCGTGTCATGCGCACATCTCGAAATATGCACTCTCTCTGTATCTGCAAGTTTTTCACTTCAGCACTTGCTTAAGGCATTCGCAGGCCATCCCTTTGCTTCATGAGCTTTCCATGTGAGCCTTCACCATGCAGCACCTTTACGCTTCTGGGAGCCTGTGCTTTGCCTCCGACCCTTTTGGTTTATCCACTTGCCTATTTTAATTTTGCAGTTTCTGTGTTTTTTCTTGCAGAGGCACGAGACCCATGTCCCCTCCATGGTCATCGCTTGCTGCTTTTGGGTCTGTCTCGTTTTATTTCATTGTGGTTGCCGACTTAATTATTATCAGGTATCTGTGTGTTAGTTTGTTTGCAGTAGACCTAACTGCCTCTATTTCCTTTCCGTGAGTTAGTTTTTGTCGGACGCTTGTACTCAGTGTAACAGGTGCAAGGGCTGGGTTTTGTTGCTGTGTCCAGGATGTTGTAAGGACACTGCTGGCCTACCCGAGAGTTTCTTCAGACTGTCCTTGATCGTTCTGACAGCTCTCTTGGGAAGTCTGTTTAACTGTGGATAGTTAGGTGCAGTCCTTAGGAGGCCAATTCCATTTTGAGTAATGAACTCGGTAAACAGCGTGCCGGGGAATGGTGCTCCACTTTTGGACACCAAGCAAGCAGGAAGTCCTAACCAGGCGAAGGTGTTCCTCAGATATTCGACTGTTGCAGTTGAGTTGGCTGGCTGCCGATGCCAGTGGTTTATTTCAATCTTGGTAACTGTTTACCACAATTAGCACCGTTTCACCTTCGATAGGTGCAGTGCAGTCGACGTAAATTCTTGTCCATGGAGTCATGGGTTCTGGCCAAGCTTGTGGCTCCGCTTCTGGTGGCATTAATGCAGCCTGTTGGCATATTATTCAAGGTTGTACGGCATCATCCATTGCCTTACCTCATTGCGTTGATACCCATGCATGTGTCATGGAATTCTTAAAATAAGTTTCACCTCCTATGGGTCTTTTGACTCCGTGGATGTTGTGTGACGACACTGGTCCAACTGCCTCTGGAGGTGTGGCACATTCAGGATCAGTTCCTCAGTGTAGTTTCCATACAACAGGAGACCTGACGAAGCAGTGTCTGCTTTGCCTTGTTAAAGCCGTCATCTTCCTCTAATACACACCCCTATTTCACATTTTTCCGGAGCAGGTGGTTGGATGGAGCCAATAGCTGAAACATTTGAGGCAGGCAGCTTGCATGCTATACACTCCGTGCGACGCGACTGGCGCGCCGCCGCGCGGCCGGTACCGAAGGTAGGCAGTGAGAACCCCGAGAAAACGAAACCGAAACCACGCCGCGTACGTTGGTACGCATTGAAGTTGGAGTGGTGCGGTTGCGCTGGGTTCACAGCATGAAGTGCTGCCTGTGCTGCGTCATTAAGTGCTTCAATAGTTATGCGTCGTATCTCGTGGAGACAAAGTTTCACAGTTTTTCACCTCGCCGATGTTTTGCGGGACAGCGACAACGATGGAGCCGTGCCGTACGACGCGAGAAATTTGGTCTCCCGATCATGTCTGCCCCTGTGTCGGCACGGCTGACATATTCTGCACAGTTGCTTTGCGCTCTGCGTTTGGTTTTGTACCAGTAACGCCTACATGTGTCAGCGCCGATGGGACGAACTTAAATGCCATCCCACACTCGCGGGTATGAAGTGCCAATTTCGTTGGAGGAATGCCCTCCAAGGAAGTTTCGTCCCCATCGCACGTGTCGATGATATTTCCGGACAAGTATGGCAGGCAATATGTACTTCATGAAGAAAGATTCGAACGGTAAAAAAAGTGACAAATATAAATCTAAAGAAAGCAATAATGAAACCCGGAATCACTGTAGAATCGACGTTTGACAATGGAAGTTTATGTGGTGTGCTTTCTTTCTGGATCAGCCTCCTTTTTGAATGTGGAAACGCTGACACCCCGAGTTCTGTAGACAACAATTTTTTTTCTTGGCTTTAGAGCCACCTATCGCAAAGTGGTTCGAACTGGAAGTACCGTCCACTGGTCCCTTCCTCCCTGTAAATTGTGCACCTCCCACGACGAGTGGTATTCTCTTGATAGCCTTTGACGGTCAAAGCCAGTTCCCATTTAGTTACGCCGCCCAAACTAAATTTCCACCTGGTTTCGCTATGCCAACTCTTTTTGTTAAAATAAGTGCTGTGCCAAGTGACGGTCATGTCAAAGTACCTGTGCGCCGAAAATCAGCACCTCGCACAGCAGGTTATTACACAACAGCTGACCGCAAAAGCCCTTGGTGGCCAAACCTTGTTGGCCGACAACTTTGTTTTCTCGGCTTTGGAACCACCTTTCGTAATGTTTCAATTGGAAGTACAGTCCACTAGCCCCTTTCTAACTCTAAAGTCTCCACCTCCCCCGACCAGTGGTATTCTCTTGACAGCCTTTTCATGATCAAAACCGGTTCCCACCGAGTTACGCCGTCCAAACCAAGTTTTCACCTAGTCTCCCTATGCCACCTTTTTTTTTTGTATATTAAGTGCTGTGTCATGTTACTGTCAAGTCCAAGAACCTGTGTGCCCAATTCTGCACTTTGCACAGCCCACTATAACACAACATTTTGGGTCCAATATTGGATATGCCGTACAGCTTTATTTCTTTATTTGTTAGAAACATAACCTTCACACCTGCTGTCTTAAAGAAACTTGGCACTCTTCGCGCACAAACTTAGTGAACATCTCACTCGCCTCCAAATATCATCGTTCCAGCAGTCCTAAGTTTACAGCGACGAGCGAAATAAATTTCCCACTCAGAGCAATTATGGTGGCGGCCGTCTTGTTTTTCGGAAA